GTATTTTTCAGTGATAGGTTTACAGGTCTGCATCGGTGGTAGAAGCTTTCTCAACACTATAATCACTATCCATCCTATTATCACGGCCTTGTTTACAATTAATTAATTATTATTACATTTTATAATAATTAATATTAATAAATAATAATCAAAAACATGTATAAAATGCATGTCACCATGTCGCTTATGATATGATATTATTTTGATATTTTCGAAATCATCATGCGAATACTTCTATTTAATTCGAACTTCTCGAATGTATTTCTATTAATATTCGTAGAGGTATTTATCAACGAAAGAAGATTTCGTTGACCTTTTCGCATAATCTCAATTTCTTAAAAATATATTATAAAATGATAAATAATGCAAATTATTGAAAATTGCTTTTATCACCGAAATTTCAAACCTAACATTATTTAATTCGAATTACTAAACATATCGTTCAAAGTCGCTGCCGTAATCTATTAATAGAATAAAAGTGGTTTCTGGATAGGTTCGCTTCGCTCTGCTGGTTCATTAAAGCCTTTGATAAGCAGTTTTTGCCAAAGAGCCAGGAGTTACGAGCAGTGGTGAGTTATCAACATCTCCGGGCTCTTTGGAATTGGCTCGCTCGAGTTGGGTAACCATTTAGCCACCACTGTCTCCACTATTAGAATTAATGTGTATTATTTTTATTTTTCCTACTATTACTTTATTATTATTATTAGTTTAATTATTTTCTTAATTATTATTTTGAATTTATTGTTGATTAAATAATTTTTCCTTTCCTTCAAAATCATTGGGAATTTATTTTTTTCTAGATAAAAATTTTAGGGATTTCGTAAATTTTTTTTGGCTTTTCAATGCATCACTGATTTCATTTGACGTCATTTTATCGGCGATTTTTTTGCATTACGTAAAATTTTGGTGCAAAATTTTTTTTCATAAATCATCATTAGTATTGTATTGCCGTATAGGATAACTGAGTGGCTGTTGCTTAGGTTTACGAGCAACTGGAGCAAACCTATCGGTAGGACCCACTGGTGACCCACTTATGCTTTTATCTCCCACAGTGATCCCCTCGCACAACCTTAGCCAGTGGAATGTGCCTAATTAGAACTACTGAACGTAATCACTTTCTGCCATTTGTCATATACCATGCGATCCATAAATCCAAATCTTTAATGCATTAAGTGCATTAGAAAATGGTGATTTTTGCATTTCTCAAACCTAAGACTTTAATTTATTCTCCATGTTTTAAGCTTAATCCTAAATTTTGAACCATACATCTTCTTTTTTATGGTAAATATTAATTCGAACATTCTCTGAATCTCACAATATAATAAAGAATACGAGTTTAGTTTTTAGAACATTAGTTATGCGAAATGGCTATATCAGTGATGACCTTTAACCCCTCGCCGTATATTTCTGATATATTACCACATGATTTTACCTCGGTCTTTCATTAAATAAGTTTAAATCATCAATGGTTGTCGGTTGACTGTTGGATAAATCTGATAAATCTATCATTAAATGTGAATTGAATCGTACATTTTGTTGTTTTCGTTGTTATTATTATCGCTTTGAAGCAATTTAAACATTTATCGGATTTAATATTATTTTAATATAAATTTTACCATATGACATTTCAATTTTATCATAAAAATTTATATAAAAACATTTAATTTCGCTAATAGCCGTTATTTTGCCAACGTTGATTGCGCTTGTCACGTTTTTTTGATTCTACGTGGATTATTTTCTCGTAAAGCTCGTTGATTTTTGGCTCGGATTTGACATGTTTTGCACTAGAAAGGTCAAAGTTGATCGTAAAAAGTGGGATGGACCACGTGATTTATTATTATTGACCATTGCGCAGAAGGTTTCTCATCTGCAGAGGTCACTCATTTATAATATTGAGATTTGCCAAGCGATGGTTCATTTTACACATTTCGTTGTGTTGTGGGGTTTGCTTGTCCTTTATCTCTCCTTCTTCGGCATTGCAGATCGTCGAGGGTATTACGAAGTTCCAAACTTTTCTTAAAGGCGGGGATAGCCAAGTTGGCAGTGGTCTAGGTTGGGAGGGACGACTTTTCTCATGTTTTCTTCTATTCCTGCTGCAGGTAAGAAAAACTCATTAAACCTGTCGTCAATAAATTCGTGTGGTCTGGCTTGTATTTTTATCGCCAAATGGCTCCATGGCAAGAGTATTAAAAATCAGCGATAGGTAATCCAATCAGAAATGGTGGACGTTAATGAAATTTGAGGTGTAAATCTTTCAAAAAACTTTTATTTTCAAATTTTAATTTTGTAAATTCCAACTTAAATTCTGTAAATTATAAATTTGAATGAATTTTCTGGAAATCTCGCCAGCGGTTGGATAGGGAATTTTTTGGACTTATTCAATCTAAATGTGGTTTTGCTGGTTTCCTTGGCTTCTCGGACAAAGCCTGTTCGTAAGAGAATCATATGAGGTGATCCTCAGCTCGAAAATCGCGTGGTATGGTGCCGTTTTTGTAAGACTGGTTAGTTTCTAGCTAAAATATATATGGGTCAGTAGCACTAGTAGTAGAAAGGTCACAATTAGTCATGAAAGAGGGTGCGATTACTGAAATCATTTTAAAATGATTCGTTAATTTTTCTCTCATACGAATTTCGAAAACTTGCCAGCAATTTTATAAGTCTGTACAAGTTCTCATCTCATTAATCAATGATAATTTAGGAAAAATAATCTTTTTAGTAAAAAAATTAGTAAGGATATTTGTAATGAATTTTAAAAAGTGGGGCCCAGCATTTTTGATCAACTAGTTGTGAATTTTCGAGAACTCTTTATTAGCAGTGTTAATGTTATCATTAACATTAGGCAGCAACCAGTCTTTTCATAACCACATATTCTTCGATTAATGATAATATGAGGAGAAGGAAAAGGAAGAAATGGGGGAAAGGAGAAGAGAAAGGGACAAGGAAGGGGACCTTATAAACCGTTGGTATTTAAGTTGCTGGTTTTTCCAGTCTCCACATTTTCTCCACATTCTATTTCGTTTCATCTTACAGAATTAAATTAGCAATTAACTATTGAATTAACAGAATTGAATGTTCTTTTCCATTTCTAAACTGGCTAAAACTAAAAATTGGCCAAAACAATTAAGTGAGAGGGCTATGAAGTGTATTCACTGTAGATCGAGTGGCGTTTGCTCCCTTCCTTCCTTTGATTTCGGTTTAACATTTTCGGTTCGTTATTGAGGATTTGCGTATAAATTACTGTGGCCATGACATTTAAAACCTTAGTCGTTTATTTTCATTAGTTTCGAATTTAAAAAAATCATTGATCACCATCATCAGAATTATTCACTGTCAATCCATTAATCCTAGCATTTGATAGTTTAATATTCGTTTTGATAATATATAGGTAGGCAGTAAGCTGTAGCGGATAACGGACATTTTCGGGCAAAAAATTAGTTTTTGCATCTTCGATTCCATTATAGAATTTCGCATTTGTTGAAGATTTATTGTTATTTTTTTGCAAATTTTTTTTTTATTGGCTACTGTAGTGAATTTGGAGTTCGTCCATTGTTTCGGCTCATTTATGGGACTTTCTTTGCTGATCTAGGATCACAATTTCTCGTCGCCACACCTTCCCACAACTTATCGTTTCATCGTGGTAGCCTGAAATGGATTTCGTTATTCTCTTTGTTCGTTGTAATGGCGAGTAACCGATGTGATTCGAAGATTCTTAAATTCCATCTATATATTATACATTATGCAAATATTTAGTTTCGAAAATGAATAGAGTGATCAATCGACTAAAAAATGCTACTGCATTGAAGCAAAAGCGTGTTGATGAAGATCTTGCGGCTGAGCCCGTTATTGTTTCTCGTATCGGTCCGGAAACTGACGAATATAAATGTCAACGAGTAAGTTAAACTTAACACATGGAAGATTGTACTAAATCGCCGTACGCTGCTGTATATCCTGTTTTATATCCATAATAATATTATATATTTGTAAATCTAAATATATTCTTAAACACAGTGAACAAAATTTTTTAGATTGAGAGTATTTGCGCATGTTTGGATCTTAGCGATGATATTCTACAACATGTTATGGATGTTCTGCTCAATAATATGGAAAAAGGATTGGATTCAAAAACAGGTTATGATTAAGTTAATGTAGAAATAACTGAATGCTCTCGAATAATTATACCCCTCTTCCCGGTGACAATACAAAAACTCCGTTATAATTTGCTTATTTTCCTTTATAAAATGTCTCTGGGTTCTAATCGGAGCCCACATGCACCTTTATTCTCGGATGATTCTTTGAAAGATTTTCCCATTAATTATATTAAATCATTAAGCTTAGCCAGAAACAGTAGCGTTAATCACCATCAATCATTTGCACTGTTTTGCCTTGTTTTCATTTATTTTTTTATAAATGTTTCAGTTTCAGCAGTTATTTATATGGATTGGATGATAATGGTTTAATTACTCATTTTTCTCTGGTTTATTTATATTTTTAATTTTCGAATAATTTTTAGCAAAAATAGCTGCAGTTAAAATGTTGCCGTCGTATGTACGTTCCACACCAAATGGGAAGGAAAAAGGTAATTTTCTGGCTTTGGATCTTGGTGGTACGAATTTCCGTGTTTTGCTTATTACTATCGATGGTCGAGAATCAACTATGGTTGGAAAAATTTATCGTGTGCCTGATCATATAATGAAAGGCACTGGAACAGCGGTATAACGTTTTTTCGCTTAACGCTTTTTCAGGATTATTTACATTTTGTGATATTCTCGCCACGGTGAAATTTAGTGGCGGAGGTGTAGATGAATCTTCAACAACCAATTATAGTTTTGTATTTATGACAGGTGCAATTCTGCCGAGAAAAAAAGTAAAAATGTATCACTGAAAAAAATAAAAAACGACCGCTCATCACCCAATTTGGCCATGAATTTGATCGAAGCTATGTAAAATTTCTTTAGTTTTTCATTAAGAAATGGGAGAAAATTATATCCATTACTAAAATCCATTATTTATTTTAAGATTAGGCTTCTAAATAAACTTAAATAAATTATCAGTTACGTTTTAGTTATTCGATCGAATTGCTGAATGTCTTGCTGAATTTATGGAAGAAAATAATTTAAAAGGAGCCAAGAAATTGCCTCTAGGCTTCACATTTTCGTTTCCTTGTAGTCAAGAGGGCTTAACATGCGCCAAATTAATCACATGGACGAAAGGTTTTAATGCAAGTGGAGTTGAAAATGAGGATGTTGTCAAGCTATTACGTGAAGCTTGTCAACGTCGTAAGGTTGTATATGATCTGCCGTTTCTAATTAACTTAATATCATATTTCCCTTTAAAACAAAATTTATGAATTTTGTCTTTATCATTTTAAAGGGTGTTGATGATCTATATTCCTGGATTAAAAGACATTTGACAAAGATAATAATGTGTGCGACTTATAGGATATCGATATAGATGTCGTTGCGGTATTGAACGATACGGTTGGAACATTGATGGCTTGTGCGTTTAAAGAAAATACTTGCCAAATTGGGGTGATAGTTGGTACTGGTTCTAACGCTTGCTATATGGAAAAGCTCTCAAGATGTGAAAAATTAAAGGATTTATTGTCCAGAAATGATGGACTGCCTGATGAGGTTAATTTTCTGAGGAAAAACTCAAAATTCTTAATTAAGATGGCTATATTCGTTAAATCCCCTAATCGAAGATTAGCAAATAGCTGAGCAAGACTTGTCAAATTAATTAATGTTATCTACAAATTGCAATATTGAGTTATTTTACAGATGATCATCAACATGGAATGGGGTGCTTTTGGTGACGATGGTGCGTTAGATTTTGTTCGTACTCGATTTGATATTGAAGTTGATAACAGTACGATTAACGCTGGCAAACAACTGTATGAATTTTACAGAAGCATATCCGATAAAAATAAAAATTCTTTTGTTTAATTGTAATTTAAAATATCAGAAATTTAGGTTTGAAAAAATGATATCAGGAATGTACATGGGTGAAATTGTTCGTGTTGTGCTTGTCCACTTGGCTAAAGAAAATCTTATATTCAGTGGAAATTATCAAGCGATTTCAGAACAACATTCATTCCCAACGAAATATGTATCCGAAATCGAGAAGTATTTTCTTTTCATTTATTATAGAAATAGTAGTAAGAATTTCTGATTTAGTTGCACTCGCTATTATTAGTGCGGTGAGAAATTTTTACTATGGGGATATTTGGCGATGGAAATGCAGTTGGTTCAGCATTATCACACCCAAATTGTTGGATCGGACATTTAAGATAATCTGCTATAATCACTTGGCTACCAGTTTTCTTAAGCTTAAACTTTAAGCTTTGACATATTTAGCCAATAGTTTCAGTACCTGCGTCAATTTAATCCTTATTTTACAGCGATATGTGTCAAGATGATGATAAAGCTTATCAAAAAACGTTACAAATTCTGGAAGATATCGGAATTGAGCGACCAACGATACATGATTGCGTTAATGTTGGCTATGTTTGCACTCTAGTTAGCAGACGGTAATCACTTGGAGATAATTACATAATTTTGCATACAAATTAAAATTCCTTGAGTACCTAGAACAAGAATCGTTAAACCTTAAATCGACAATTTTATTTTCGTGGATATACCAGTTTTTTATATTTAGCGCGGCTTATTTATGTGCAGCCGGTTTGGCAACGATATTAAAGCGTATTAAAAAACCATTTGTAACGATTGGTGTGGATGGGTCTGTCTATCGTTTCCATCCAACGTTTCCGCATCTGCTTGAACAAAAGATTTATGATTTAGTCGACATAGATCTCGAAGTTAGTTTCGTACAAATTTTCAAAGATGGAGAAAATCTTTACCTGGGCACAAAAGTGAGGCGTTTTTGAGCCTCTGAGCTCCATTTCTGAATGTATAGTGGAAGCCATTTGTTTGGGCCTTCATATTCTTAACATCGTCTATCACAATATTTGATATTAAGCGTCAATTCCTATGGCGAGTAACGAGGAATATAACGTTATCAGCGATTGTTTTTCTATTATTGTACTCAGCTATTTTTTGCCAATTTTTCGTCGTTAATCTTAACATAATTATTGCAGTTCAAATTAATGCTATCTGAAGATGGAAGTGGTCGCGGTGCAGCATTAGTTGCCGCAGTTGCCTCGAGAGTGAATGAAGAAGCCAGAGCTAATTCGCATGATGGTCGTACTTCGTAATCCATGCACTATTTACTATTACTGTTAATGTTGATATGGATTTATGAAGTTTTCTTGCTTTCATTATATAATTTTTTCTTTCATTTCTGACCTTTTGGCTCTATATATTCTCGTTTTTAGATTATTTAAGTAGTTTTCGTTTTTTTGGAAAAATTTGGGAAATGTAGAGGAAGGGCTATGGACAGAAATGAACTGCTAATCAGACATCGAATAAAATAACATTAGTTTAAATCATTTCCGTAAGAAATCCATCACAAATTTCTATTTACTTGTTCTTTTTTCCTAAATCCTTCATTTGCTCAAAATTCTGGAAATACTTATTTTCATTTTAGTGTCATTTATTTATTTGTTTTAAGGTCTATTTATAGTTATAATGAACTTTAATTGTTATCGGTTTGCATTAGGATGTGATGGATAGTTTTTTTTTAAACGGTGCATAATCGTCAATAGCCATTTTTTTTAAACTGCTTTATTTAACGATCTTTAGCGTGGAACCCATCAACATTAAACGCTGTTTTATTATTTTTAATAGATTATAATCAATGAGTTTCTAATTCGATAGTCATTCATCAAACCTCACAGATTTTGAACACGCGAAATTTTTAGAATTATTGTCCGCGACATTGATAGCGTGAAGAAACTTTATTTATGAAGTAGTAGCAAGTCATTAAAGGTGAAAAATTTTGATTATAAATTACGCAAGCGAAGAAAGGTAATGATTTCGTCGTGGTTTGATAATTTGCGAAAAGCGAAGTTGTATATTTGCCTTTGTAAAGAATGGTTACAATATAAACACTATATGAATGAAATAATATTGCATAATCGTAATAATCTTGATATGAAAAGCCTTAAACGAGAAAATAAGGTGCTCCCATATTTTGCCCTGCTTTACTCCAGCGCTTTTATTAATTCAGGTATGGCCTGGAACAAATCAGCCTTCAATCCAAAGTCAGCGACCTAAAAATCGATCGCAGTTTTTCTTAGAATGTCAACTATCCATACCAATTGCCTTCATGAAATAAAGAGAGAAAATAGGCGATTTTCTGGTTAGACTCAGGCCACTGGCGAGCAATATGGTTCTTGCCAAGGAGTCATACGGCAAATACTGGTGGATTACCGCAGGAGCTAAAGAGCTAACCAAAGCATCTTGCTGCTAACATTTATCCAAAGTAAAATGAAGTTTGAGATGTCATCAACCTGGAATATTGGAGCATCTGGATCCTTGTTAATTGCAACTATTGTTTTACTGTCCTTCATTCCTGCTAAATGCTGAATAGCACCGCTGATACCCACGGCAATATATAACTCCTGGAAAATACGATCAATTCATCCGTTTTAAAAATGAAAATTTATATTGCTTTAGTCAGTTGCAAATTCTCACAGACGTGGATGATTTCTGAAAACAACCTCTTTTTTCATGAATATCTCCATTCAAAAAGGGTTAAAAAATTTTATAATTTATAATTTATTTAAATATCAATTGGGCAAAATCCCAATCACCGCCTTGATATTAAATTAAATTTTGGTAAAAAAGATAAATCGATATTTTACTTTGTTTTTTATTTGCTTATATGTAAACAAATTTGCAGGAAAAAGTAAATATATAAGATTTTGCAAAATATATATTTATATATAGAAAATAAATATACACCGGTGCAACAATTTTTCCTGTTTGTCCAACTTGCAAATCATTTGGTGCATAACCAGCATCAACCGCTGCCCTAGAAGCACCAACACCTCCATTCAGTTTATGTGCCAAATCATATATGAGCTTAAAATTTTCACTGGAGCCGACCCCTCTACCACCTGAGACGACTATTTTAGCTGTTTGCAAATCTGGACGACCGGAATTGCTGACATCTTGACTCAAAAATTCAGTTTTTGCAAAATCAAGATCAGCTGATGGTGCTAAATACCAAATGCGTAATTAGAAATTTATATTGTTATGTAAGAAACGAAAAGAAAATGAAGGAGAAAATATTTTCTAAAAAATAATATTCAAGAAAAATCTACAATATAAAACGAAAATGATTTAAATTCTTCAACCCAAACAAGGTCGATTTTTTCCCACAGCGATGAGTATTTTCAAAAAATCTCGTTAAGTTTAAAGAAAACCCGACATGAGGATTTGAAATGCAACAAGAAAATTAGTCTCATAATGTTTTTTCGCATCTCTAAATCTCCAAAAAATGATCTACATTGATTTCCAAAGTTTAGAAAAAAAAATAGAATACAAAACCAATTTCTATTGCACCACTTCCACCACCGATATTTGCAGGAGAAAAGGCAGTGCCACGGACTGTTATCAATTTGACTGATGCTAAACTTTTCACCTAAATTGCAATTTTTTTCAAATTTTGCATTAAATTACACACAAAATTTGTAAAAGTTTAATGAAAAATTAAAATTTTCAAACGTTCAATTTTTTGCTTATTATTAATGTTGACCAAAATGGAAAACGACAAGACTTTGTTGAATTTCAAAATGAATTATCTAAATAATATTTTAAAAAATTATTTTCTCATCTCTGTCGATTACAAGGATTCTCCTCAACCTCGGGTACTCTGCCAGAGGCCTGAGAGATTGAGGGATCTGCGAAGTATTTTAGTTGTTTCTATCCTGGTCTCTGTCATTTCTGGATTCTGAAGCCACTTTTCTAGTTCAAGAGCTATAAAAGGAATGCAACTATCGATTCAAACCCTCGACCTCGACCAATCATATTGGATTCCTCTGATATCTCGTAAAATCTGACATATTTTATGAAAAAAATTCAAGTCAATTTCCGTTAAATACTCTCTTAACATCACCAAAAACGCCACTAGAATCTTCAGCCATAATAAATTAGAAATATTATTTTTCTCCTTCTATCACCTTAGATTTCAGATTCAGTCGTAGTTCCTTAATATTATTTACGCCCACAATACACCCAATGCTTCATCGACCCACGCAACTGCTCCTAGCGGCCACGGTTACAAATATAAAATGGCAAAGAATAGCATGACAAAAGAAATGCAGAAAAAATTAAAGATGTTGAGGAAAAACTATGGGCGTTTGAGATCGAAAGAGTATTAGAGAATTATAAATACAATATAATATAAAAATTCAAAAAGTATAGAAAAATGTCAAGAAATATGCCGGTGAATGAAGATAATTTCGTTCATCTGGGATTTTCGATGAAAAATAACTTTACGATAGAAGAAAGAACGTGCTTTAACTCACCTTACATATTGCACTACCAGCATATATCGGTCGACTAAAAGTATTTTCTGAATGAATGAAAGTAATATCACTAATCGGCGACACATCCAATTTGGCAGCGACACGAGGTATAATTCCCCTGCCAAATGTAGATGAACCAGCAATAATACTAGAGAAACCAAATCGTTTTTGTGATGCTAGCACAACATTAGTAACCAGCTCTGAAATCAATACAACAAAGGAAAGCGATAAAAGGCCAAATCAAAATTATACTTTTAATTGATTAGCGATATAAACAAAAATAATGATAGTGAGTTGCCTAGAAAGACAAAGAATAAAAAATTTTACGATTCATTCATTACCTGGTAACTGAACCTTTAGCTTCTCATCTTCAGCCATAATAACCCGCTTAACATGTTCCACTTTTGTTAACTGAAATGTAATAATATGAAGGTGCTGTAATATACTTGCTTAAATTATTATCTTTCACTATTTTTTGTCAGTATTCAAGAGGGTACAAATCAGTCCAGAGTATCATAGAGTTTAAATACGCTGATGATGGGGCTCTTTTTGCTGACGAAATGAAAATTATGCTAAAAAATTGTGTAAACAACTGCAGCGAGAAGACTCAGCATCATTGTAAATAAAATAGCTTACATACCAGAAGCTAATAAATACCTAAATAATTTTTTTTTATCAATTCGTCGCCAGCTGGAAATGTGCTAGACTTTAAAAATCTTGGATCCATTCTAATCCCAAATGGCCAAACAAAAGGCAAAATCACAAGATAGTTACAAATGCATTCTTCCAATTGACGAAATTTTTATGCAGTCATCACGAAATTACTGCAAAAAAGAAGAATCGCATCTATATAGCTGCAATTGGAGATAGAGTGGCTCAATGGGTTGTTGCTCAATTTGGAGCAGCCGAGGCTGCTGTTCGATTCCCCGCAGGAGCAAACCTGTATAAAAATCCGGATGATGCTGGTGACTCACCTGTACTTCTGTCGCCAAGGGACTTAATGCGACAAGCTAGTGGAGTGAGTTTAGCCACTAATGGTGAGGACTCTTAAGAAGAAGAAGAATAGCTGCTTAGCTGCAATTAGCTCAATTTTGTTATATGGCGAGACAAGGTTAATGAGAGTAGAAGATGTGAAGAAGTTATCTGCCTTTGACCAATCATGTCCAAGATACGCCGAGTGCACAAAACAAAATCTCACATGATCACATTCAACTTCGTTCCAGTACCACTTGCATTAAAAGTATCACCACTTTGTCTTCGCTTAGAGCATGTTCTTCGTCGTCCACTATAAGAGTTCACATATATTTCGTTACTCGCTAAACCCTGTGATGGGTGGCGTCAAAGGCGAGGTGGGCCAATCAAGACCTGGAATGATACAGCAGGAAAGATTTTGAACGTATAGGTGGACCAGCGATAAATGGACTTAGACAATGGGGAAAGGACTGACTAGAAGTCTATTATTTTTAGTGATGGCATCGAAGCGAGCAGCTCGAAGATGTCTTACAACTATAGTCAGCGAAGTCAGCCTAACTTTGAATGACTCATATTGCTGACTAAAAAAATTTTAGAAAAAAATGGTGCCTTTTCAAACATGTTTTCTTAAAAATTTTAATTGGAGAATTTTAATTGGTTAACAAATCTACCTGCTGAGCAATACTTTTCATATCTGCGCCAGTAACAAGAACTGAGACATCTCCAAGTTTCGAAGCAGCAGTAACTGCATTGAGTGTTACCATGTTTAATTTTCCATCACCATGTTCAGCTAGCACCAAGCTACTCGCAAAACGACCATAAATAATCTATAATAATTAATTCATTGCACAATATAAATTTTCCTAAAACTATATTCTTTCCATTTAAAAAAAAGCAAAAAGAGCTAAACAGACGAGGAAAGTAGCTATAAAAATGAAGGATCTCGTCATTACCATCCTTCAAGCTATTCGTATGGAATTCATGCAATCTTTAAGACCTGTAAATGTTATGGACGAGAACCTTTAACAATTTTCTTCTATATATAATCATTTATTCGAGTGATGCAAGGAAACCACCTGTGCCACCATTTCCAAACGACTGACTCTCTGGTGGAGGTATTTCCCTAATGGACAACGCGGAGAGCTTAACCATAAACAGCCGCATGCTCAATTAATTTTACGAGCCAAGCTATCATTCGTTTCGCTTAAAATCTATCCTCTGCATCACTTTCTCTTTTTTAAAAGAAAAAATGCGAATAAAGAATGACGTCTGAATAAAATACGGAATCGAATAATTTTAATGCAACTTCAGTAGATTAAATTACATCGAACGTCTGCAAAAACTTTTTAATTGTTAATAAAAACTAAAAATTTGAGGAATTTCTATTTTATCTTCATAAATTCATATAATCTGTAATAATAATCTGTAATAATCATTCATTGCTATAGAAAAAAAAAACATAAAAACAATAATAATAATAATAACCAATAATAATAATAGTAATAGCAATAATAACGAAGAAAACATACCGGGTTGCATTTTGTCGCAAAATTCAACAAAACGAATCCTTTTAGCATTTACTGAAAATAAAAACATTTATATGAGATTTTTGAAGGAAAAGGACAGCGTGACCGAACGGATTCGTTTTGACTGCGATTATCGTGCTGAGAAAATGCTCGAAAAACTTGAGTGGTGCCCATGACCCACCTAATTTCTATCGCCATCAGCACATCAGTGATTTTGCAATAAGCGTGCTTATGGCTAGCGGAGTGGATGAGCATTAATGAGTGTGCGCAGACCGCCTAATTTTTTAAGGTAAAGAAAAGAAAAGCCGTCGTCGCGAAACTCCAAAGAATTAATCACTTAACTTCAGTCCAGTGATATGCAATGTTTAAACATGCTTCTATGAGCAAACAACAAATCATTGCACATTGCACGTTGCACATCCAAAGAACCAACACCACATGTGACAAACAACAAATATTTCACCAACTTACCTCGATTAAACGACAGCTGTAACAGCCCGCACAACTGAACATAGGAAACGATCAACCTCTCATCACCAAAAAACCAATCTCAACGAAGTCTCTTATTTGCGAGCGATTATACTACAACGTACAAAGTTTACACGATCAGAACACAACAGAAAAAGTGGATGTGATAAAAAACGAAATTTATCAATTATCATATCATATCACTTGCAAATCTATCATTTAAGTTGGAACCATATTTTTGATTGGCATTTTTTGGCTACTTTTTCGATAGCAAAGAAGCGTCACCGGCTGTCCACCGTGCTGACAAACCCGTCACTTTAATCAATAATTGTGGCAACTGCGAGGGTCGTAGAGTCGGAAAGTTGTTTAACAACACGGAAATCGATGTACCATTCATTTTCTTTTTGTCTGAATTTTGCGACTCCTAAAATATATTTGAAGAATAAAAAATCGTAAAAAATTCCTTTCTATTCGTTGTCAGAAATGCTTCAAAACAAATTTCCGTTCGAATTAAAATTTTGGTCAAATCTCTTCGTTCCTTCTCCAACTATTATTTTTCGCACTTATTTAGCACTGCGATAATTCTTCGGAATTAATTTCGCTGAATTAATTTAAAATAAGCGAAAATCGAAATAGCCGACTCGCCTTTACCTTAAATTGTTTATTTTTGTTTATTCTATCAAAAAACATTTCACTGCTTTTCGGCTTCTACCGCAACGCTCCTTTGCCTACATAAATCATCACATAATCCCGACTATATTACATTTTTCTGTCGTTTCCACCGAAATATTCCGAGAAACATTCATTAAGAAGATAACAGTTAACATAAATTCACTGCCTTCTGCGGTGCAGCAAGTGACCATTTCTATTTCCGCCTCTTTCCAAGTCTCGCAAAGGGACAAATTAACAGAGAGTGGATTCAGCCAAACCAGAAATGCTGGGTGCTGAAAGAAAATCATTTCATTCTCTAAAATATAATTAAATTATAAATAAAGGTTTCCAAATAGTCACCTCACGTAACAAATAAAACATTTAACCACATTTATGATAACAGTGATTATGACAGTGTTTTTTCTAACACTTGACACTTGCAAATCTTGCAAATACAATCTTTTACATGAAAAAATTTTAAATTAGAACAACAGAGAACAGAATGCTATTTTATTGAATAAAATGAGAACAAATAAATGAAATTCATAATGCAACAATGTATTGTTAATATACAAACATAGAGAGAGCAACAATACAAATACAAATAAACAAATAGATAAAAAATTTTGGACCGAACTGAATCACTATAGAATTTTAGTAGGAAGAAAAAATATTAGCTAAAGGAAAAGAATCTCAACTCAAAAATCCGCCAACTGAACGAGAAATGGCGATAAAAGAGAGAAAAATAGATACTGAAGGTATTTCAAATGCTATAGTGTGAGATGCTATAGAGGCGTTGGGCGATGGTTCAGATTATCGAAATGCTTCGGCTTTCCATAGATCTGCCACTAAAATATGGAGCTGGCAGCCTACCTCTAATTCTGTCGCCTTGTGATTCCTTGGCAAAAAATTCTAACGTATTAACAAGCATCGTAGTCTAAATAAAAAAAAATGGTAAGAGCTAACCACTTATACTAATTCTTCGTAAAACTAGAATGAAAAATGCAAATAAATAATTTCTTTCTCCAAAAAATGTTTCTGTCGTATTTTTTTGCAAACAGATTTATTTTTCAATGAAAGTTTTTTCGGGTGGACCGAATTAAATTAGTAGCCTAATTCAAAGATCAAAATCTGTTTTTAATATTTGGTCGTGGAATACAAAGTAAAACGCAATATGTCAATAAATAAATAACAAAACAAAAGAAAGGAAAAAATAAAACTAATATCATTATGGATATAAAAAATCTCTTAGAATAAAATAAAAGTCATAATTTGATCTTAAAAAATAAAATTTATTATCAATCGAAAAGTCCAAAAAATTTCCTAACAAAATATTAACGAATAATAGGAATAACAGGTTTCAAAAAACGAAATCAATCTAAAAATTAAAAAATGTTTCAAATTCCTGAAAACCATCCGGCTTTTTTGTATCGAATGCATCTGAGAACATACTTAAATCGTTTGACCCAAAAGGTAAAATTTTATCATTAGAATGATACCGAGAGCTTGATCGCTCATCAAATCCAAAAGCGGAGGTTGACGGTTTGTCTAATCTGAAATTTCGCAAAAAATATAATGCAAGAACAGATCCAGTACATATATTAATTTTTAAAATTAATAAATAATTCAAAAGATTCAATCAAGATAAAACAATACATTTTTAGAAATGGAAAAATAAACATAGATAACCGTTGAAAAATCGCTGAGATAAACAAATGCGAAAATCATCCTACCCTTCATATAAAAAATTGTTTTGGAATAGATCACTGCCATGTAGTTCATTCAAAACACATGAATTGTCACAATCATAATCATCTGACTGACCAGATGTAAACAAACTTTTTCCATTATTCATAATCTCCTGAATTTCATCGTCGGAATCGATCTGAAATTATCAAGAGAAAAATAATCATGAAATTATGCGCAAGATTATCAGCAAAGGACAAACTGAATTCTGGTTACAATCATCAGCATTCTTTTGCCACTGATATTCAAAGGCTATTTCATCGTTGGCGAACTGTGAATCCGACATAAGCGCTGAAAGCGATGGAGAAACCTTCGAATGCAGATTAATACTATTTCCAGACACTATGTCGCATCCTTTAAAAATTTTACGTCATCTTTAAGAATTCATGTTTGGTGAAACAAAACACCATAAACTTTGAAAGAAACAGAAGTTTCTTTCCGTTAGAAAATAAAATGATTAACATACCACTTTCATTAATTTGGGACCCAAATGAACTTGTTGGACTGGGCAGTAAATAATCGGCGGCATGGTTGATCAAAAGACTGTTGAGCTGCGAACCACTTTGTAGTGAATTCGATGTGAAATTCAGTGGGGCAATTTTTTCATAAAAACTTCGTAATATGTTTTGAGAAATCTTTAAACGGATTTTTTTTAGTTGATGAAATATTCTGTAAAAAATTATAAGCTACTTAAAGGATGAATTAAATTTTTTAACTACTCAAATTCCGCAGTTTTGAATAATTTAACCGTTAGACGGATTGTCTGATATAAGAAAATGCAAAAATAATGTCTGGAATACTACATTAGGATTTTTTACAGTATGAATTAAAAAATTATGCAAATGCAATTCTACAATTGTAATTTGTATTTAATATCATTAATTTTTACTGACAGAGTAGATTTTACTATTTGACCACATTCCTTAACATTATACCTTATATTCTTGTGTTGTATTATTTATGAACCTTATTAGATGGTATAAGCTGTTTGTAAAAAAGATGGACCAATATGAGTTTCTTGTATTGTTTATTATTTTACTGTTGTATTACTGGGCGCATTTTATAATTCATTGGGGAATTACTAAAAGCAATAAATTTAAAGCAATAAATAAATTTAATAATCGCCACTTAGAGTCTAATGCAATGAGTTTTCATCACATCTTAACTATATATCATTAGTGTACATGCTTTAACTTCATGTGCAGATGATAAGTTCTATGCGCAATTTCAGCTACCAAAAGGTCATCTCTACCAAAATATGACATGGTCATAATCGCTGGAGACTGGAATGTGCGCCAGGTAGCTCAATGTAGCCACGATGAACTCTGTAATTGGCAAATATGGCATCGAGGACCGGTGCGTCTATGGTTTCTTCGCTTTGCCAAAAAGTATGCACTTTTCGTTGCTAATACATGATCTGGCATCCGAGAAGGCATCTAATCATCTAATCACATGGAATTCTCTAGATAATCAACACTCCAACCAGATCATATATTTTTGATCACATTTCAATGAATCGCTGTTGGAAGAGTTTCGTACTATAGATAATCGTACCATCGCGCTAA